AATGAGGTCCATGACCTCTGCACTAGTCCAGGAGGGTGCATGCCATCTGCGGCCCCTGGGTCTGGCCCCTGGGTGCTGGGGGACGGGGCGGGGGATGGCTCGCTGCCACTGGCTGCCTGGCTCATCGTGGGGCCACTGGCCCAGGCAGACACTGCTGGCAGGGCTGGCTGTCTCCAGTGCCGTCTGGCCAGAGTCTACCCCTTTAAGGACCCGGGGCTGGGGGAGAGAAGAGTTTTCCTGGTTGTGCCCAGAGAGGCCACCAGGGGGAACCTGGGAAGGGCTAGCCTCCCACTAGTTCGAATTAAGGGTCTACACAGCCCTTAATTCAAACTAGTAAATTCGAACTAGGCTTAATCCTCGTGGAATGAGGATTACCTAGTTCGAACTAAGCGCTCCGTTAGTTCGATTTAAATTCGAACTAACGGAGCGCTAGTGTAGCGCCTATGAAAGTTAGTTCGAACTAACGTCCGTTAGTTCGAACTAACTTTGTAGTGTAGACATACCCACACGGACTAACCTTGTATGGAAGTTAGGGGTGTAAAAAGAGGATTTTTTACTTCTGCCCTCAGAGCTGCACTGAAGCAAAAGCTTCATGTTGGAGTCTTACAGGCAGGACTGCCATATTAAGGTTCCCAAATTGGACCTTTAATCAAGCAGAAGTATCATTTGGTAAGTTGTCCTCACTGAAGTCTTTACAGACAGCATGAAAATTCTTCCTTTTCTGGACCTTCAAAAGGCTTGCAACATCTATGACACCTTCAAAGTGTGAAGCACACTTCCAATAATACATGGAAGATCATTGCATTTCTCACAGAGTCACCTCCCAGCTGGTACTTGAAAATGAATGAGTAAATATCTGAAGTCTAGTTAGAAAAAGGGTGTATGGTACCATAACAGACTAGACTTCTCTTCCAAAAGAGATCATGCTTTTCTCTCACTGCAGCTGCAATAGGGTAATTTCATTTCAGCCTGTTGGAGAAAAGATATTACCTAGAATAGTCTTAGGTGGAAGTTACCTAGAAGAAACTTTTAAAACCAGGCTCCTGTGTGCTTAAAACTTGTGTGTACTATGAATACAACTGCAAGAATATCACACAGTTTATGCTAGTTTACCCACCCACTTCAGTCTTCCAAAATAGCAATAAAGACTTACAAAAGCCTGAAGTAAACACAACAAATGCATGTATGGAGATTTTGACAGTTAAGCTGGAGAACAAAGCAATGCTAAGAAATCCTTGTTTACAAGAACTGGGAGAAAGCAGTATTAGAGCAAAGTTATGGCTACACTAAAGCCCAGATGGTTTCTGCTACTTGGCAGCTGAGACAAAAGATGCTGTTTAGTCTGGGTGGGATATCCTCACGCCCTCCAAAGCCAGCACACAATTCTTTAGTCTAGTACTCAGCCACTAGCTCAGGATTCATCTTAACAGCAACCTTCTATATCACAATCACAAATGGTAGGAGAGCAAGGATCCTATTTTTAAAAGTGTAGCTATGTACACATCCCTCAGACGAGTTTAGTTTTGAATCCAAACGCAGTACTCACTAAAAGTAAGACATTTTTCAAGTTGAGGCATGTCACTATTCTCAAAGTCCATCTGTTTATGCCAAAATCATGAGCCTAGCCTGCAGCAAGACCCACTGAACTAAAGCTAGAATTGAAAATATCTTCTATAGAAGCTAAGCTTATGTTAAATTTTACAAAAAGCCCTTTTATTCCCACCCCAGTGGTTTTGACCATAAGTCTCTGTTGGTTTGGGGTGAGGCTTTTTGCATTTGAAGTCTGGCATTTTCTCTTTAGCTTGGAAGAGAGGATGGATACGTGACTCTTTGGTTAAACTGTAGTACAAGCCATGCGGCAAAAGGTACTGGGTAATATCTATGCTTACATTTCCCCTCTACATCCTCCCAGGAGACCAAGGCAGTACTTTTATGATGCTCAGCCTCAAAAAGACTATAGTGATTAGTTTAACATCATATTTATTATTTAGAGTACTCTAAGAATATACATCACTTTACAAACACATAAGATGACAGACACCCTGCCCCAAGGAACATAGACTATAACTCAGACAAATACAAAAGACATAAGAGGAATGCACTCAGCGGCAGGGGGGATGCTTCCAGGTGAAGAGAAGTGGGAGAATGCTTGGTACATGGAAAGGTGTCCCAAGAATGGGGGTGAGGGAGGAGGACAACAGAAGCCGCAATAAGAAAATTAGAGGAGTACAGGACAATAGGTGCTGAAAGTAAGCATACAGATGGGGTAGAAAAATATACATCTATAAAACATGTCACTGTTTCAGTTAGTTCCATAGAAGTGAGCATTGTGAAGTATTCATTGAAAGGTCCTGTTTTACTGCCACTTCCCAGCAGGAGCATTTTTGTGATGTAGATTAATAAATTCATATTAATACTTTGCACTTCTAGATTGGAGCTCAAGGAATATAGATTCATATGGAAATAGAAAGCCAGGAAAGTATCCCTGAAAGGTGCTGCTACAAAAATATAAATATCTTTGTCCTATAATATTTGTCTTTGTATTCTGTCTCTAAAACTAGACAGCTTGTCAAAATGGGAGCTTTCTACTTTACTACACTTTATTGATGTGGTTTTAATTAGACAATTTTTCTATGAAGCTGTCACCATTCTTGTCTGTCACGGGATTTTCAACTTGCCCGTCCTGCGCATGCGCCAGCTGCCCCCGCCAGCTCCTGCAAGCATACACACACGTGCTCTGCCGCTTGGCTCCCCTGACGAGGCAGGCCACCCCCACAAGCTCTGGGTTCCGGCCCTCCCGGCAGGCTAACGATGAGGCATGCCGCCCCCGCCAGCTCCAACCTTAAGCCTCGTGCACATGTCCTTCAGTGAGCTACAGCCTGTGCATGTGTATGTGATCACCTTGGGGTGGGGTGTGTGTGAGAGATCATGTGGCCTGCTGCGAGAGTGATAGAGAGATCACGTGGCCTGCAGCATGTGGGAGGCAGAGAGAGAGAGAGAGATCACCGTGAGAACCCCCCAGACTTCTCTCAAGTATCCCTAAGGGTACTTGTACCACTGGTTGAGTAGACCACTCTCTCTGTGTTGGGGCGGTTAGATCTACTGGAAAAGTGTTTAGGTCAGAAGGAAATTCTCAAAAGCTTGTCTTTGTTTTCTGCAACTAGTGGCCAACCAGTTATACAGTAAGAAGGCCACAGCTATGCTACAATTGTCACTTTTTCCATCCAGCTTTTGATTTTGAGTCCTGAAAAAATCATGCAAAAAGTACCCCCGCCCTCAATCCCAGGAGTCACCCCAAAGTGTATGCACACCTTTCATACAGGCACCTCTTAAAACAGAGTCACAGAGGTATCCACATCATGGCAATAGGCATTCACAGACCAGCCGTAGTGTGCAGTTTTCTCTTGCCAGACATTCAGGGAATATGCACTGAGATGAGTTCTGTCTTTTTGGACTGGAAGTGCATGGTGTGATGAGTAATGCACAGAAAGCATCTGAACACTGGAAAATGTTTCTAGCATTTGGAGAATATGAAATTGTATCTCATTCATCCAGAATTCCAGCATTAATGTATTTAAAGGAGCTGTGCACATATCAATTTCTGCTGTGGAGCATGCTGCTGGGCAGACTGAAGACAAATGCTTCATTAAACTCACTGCTGTTAAGGAAATATGATAGCAAGATGTGTTAAGTACAGGTGTCCAGGCAGAATACATTTTCATGATATACAACAGTGAATATAGTCCTTACCTGTATAGGTGAGGGTTATTTTGGTTGTCCCATTAGACCTTTTATGTAGATAATATGAAAATATCTCCTCTCTCAACATTTATGCCACACTCATCACAATATCTGAATCCTTTCCAATATTCTAAACTTTGCATGGGTTCCCAAATTGGGTGATGTGCCCCCAACCCCCAGTCATGTGGTTTTTTTTTTTTTTTTTTTTTGCTCAACAAGTTTTGCTGCTATTTTGGGGGAGGGGTGATGCCAAAAAGTTTGGGAACCACTGTTCTAAGGCATCTTATAAAGCTGGGTAAGCAAATAAAGTTGTGATCAGATCTGACCTCTGTGGCCTTATGAGAGCCCCACAACTAGATTCTCCATAATCTTAGTTGTTTTTCTTTGTAAATTAAGTTTCTAGCCTACATGAGTACAGAAGTAATCATCTACATATGAACCAATTGTAAACCATCATCACATTGCCTGCTGAAGCTGCAGAGAGCCTAACACAGTAACTCAACATTCATAGAATGCTAGGACTGGAAGGGACCTCGAGAGGTCATCGAGTCCAGGCCCCTGCCCTCATGGCAGGACCAAACACTGTCTAGACCATCTCTGATAGACATTTAAGAGTAGGTTAGATAAATATCTCCAGAGAGGGAAATTCCACAACCTCCCTGAGCAATTTATTCCAGTGTCTGACTACCCTGACAGGAACTTTTTCCTAATGTCCAACCTAAACTTCCCTTGCTGCAGTATAAGCCCATTGCTTCTTGTTCTATCCTCAGAGGCCAAGATGAACAAGTTTTCTCCTTCTTCTTCACAGCACCCTTTTAGATACCTGAAAACAACTATCATGTCCCCCCTCAATCTTCTCTTTTCTAAACTAAACAAACCCAATTCCTTCAGCCTTCCCTCATAGCTCATGTTCTCTAGACCTTTAATCATTCTTGTTGCTCTTCTCTGGACCCTCTCCAATTTCTCCACATCTTTCTTGAAACGCAGTGCCTAGAACTGGACACAATACTCTAACTTAGGCCTAATCAGCACAGAGTAGAGCGGAAGAATGACTTCTCGTGTCTTGCTCACAACACACCTGTTAATGCATCCCAGAATCATGGGTTTTTTTGCAACGGCATCACACTGCTGTCTCATTCAGTTTATGGTCCACTATAACCCCTAGCTCCCTTTCCGCCGTCCTCCTTCCTAGACAGTTGCTTCCCATTCTGTATGTGTGAAACTGATTGTTCCTTCCTAAGTGGAGCACTTTGCATTTGTCTTTATTAAACTTCATCCTGTTTACCTCAGACCATTTCTCCAATTTGTCCAAATCATTTTGAATTATGACCTTATTCTCCAGAGCAGTTGCAACCCGCTACTATGATTAAGCGTGTAATGTGATGCTCTCCTCTAATCATTTTGAGGCCTGTTATATTATTTCCATGCAGTTAAGCTTTAAATTAATGCAAGTGGCAGGTTATAATTCTCAGACTGTGTCTGTATTTGTAAGCTGTGGAACTAGGATTCTGACTGAAATTTTTAACAGCCTCAACTAAGTTTGGCTGCTCAATAATAGTTTCAAGGGGCCTGCTTCAGAGAGGGCAGGTGTTCAACACTTTCTGAAAATTATGGCCCTTTAAAAACACTCATATGGGGCATATAAAATCATTACTCACTTTTGAAAATTAGGTCTCTGACTTTTACCACATTATTCTCCAAAGCTGATAGGGTGTGCTGGCTGCAGCTCATGCCACAATTCAGACCCAAGATTTTACTAAAAATCTGATGCAATATCTGATCTCTTTCCTTGTTGAGTAAACAGTCTTGGAGGGAGAGTTGTGCAACATCAGACCATTTAGGTGTAGCAACACCTGGCAGTACAGAATGCAGAAATCTATCCATAAATACTTAGTTACAAGGAAATTAAACTATAGCTGCTGTCTTCCAAGCACATATGTACTTCAGATTTGTCACTACCATTTAAGGCTTCAATTGCCAAGTTGAGCCGTGTTCCCTACTTATTGCTTGATACAAAGGAAAAGAAGCTGAGTAGGGCAGTAAAACATCTCCAGAGCTCCTCAAAACTTATAAAAGTAGAATAAAGAACTTTTGCATTGATGCAGTATGACACATAAGACATGGTTGATTTTGAAATGTGACAGAACTGATGAAGGTAACATATAAAACAAATCTGTAAAATACTCTTAAATAGCAGAAGTCTATTTAAACAAAAAGCCACCCCTGAAATAAATGTTTTGTCATTGTTTTGTAAACAGTTTATGAGGTTTTCCAATACAGTAACACCAGAGGGTGCTGTTTAATCATTATGCACTGGCAAGGTAACTAGCATGATGAGTCTTACAAATTCTAACAGTGATGGTGGCATTTAAAATGCCTGCAGAGCTTGCTCTTGCAATGGAAAGGGGCCAGGCAGTCTGCTCACCTGCATATTTCAATCCTGTACAGCAAAGGTGTGGACTTCCATTCTCACAACCCTCCCTCCCTCCCTCCCACTCACTCCACAGCATTCAAATGCACCATTGCTTCTTAATCTTCATGTGGAGTTACTGGACAGTGACAGCAGAGTCTTGTGCTTTTCCTGCATGGGTTAAAGGTGAAGTTCAAGAAGCTGTCCCCTATACCAGACATTGGAGAGACAGTAAGATGGAGAAAGCACCACTACTGCATTTGCCATAACACACCAGATCCAGGGTTTTCCGTAACTTCCCCACTATTACTATCACTAATTCAGCTCAACCAGTAGGAGTCTTCATGCATACTGTCCGCTGGCATTAACCAGTTGTGTGTGGAGATGAAACATGGTCTGTCTCTCTGCACCAGGGCTCCCACTGCATAGCTGTCCCAGATAGCAACAGCAGGAAGGTTATGGAAAAACCAAGTCCCGCGGGGACAAGGCCTAGGAAAGGCATGGCTTGAAGAGAGAAGCAGGCTAAGAATTCCCTTTGTATTCCCTTGATGTCTGAGGGGGGCACCCTAAGAGATCTCCACTCAAGTCCACTTATTGTTTTATGAAGTTCTACCCAACCACACAGTCATCTCCATCTCTCCTGTCCAGAAAGAGCCCAGACATTACAGGAGGCTCATCACATGCTAACCAGCAGCTTTTTGGTCAGTTACAGTGAAGTTGGTGTTTAGTAGTTCAGGGTGATGGGTTCTCTCAAAGGGGCTGTTATCTCAGCACAGGATGTTAAGAGGCTATTGCTATGAGGTCCTGCTGAGACAAGGTGAAATTGTCTCACCATGTCCATCTTTCATGTGGTCACAGGATCCAGTTACTCCATGCAAGGACAGATCTGCACTGTTGGCTCTTTTCAGCAATAAGACAAGTCAATAAAACCTGCACCTAGAAACAGGTGCTTTGCGCGGTAAGGCCCCACTTTGAAAAAGCCTTTCAGCTCTATTCAGATTATCTCCAGACAACCAGCTGCTGTTCTTCTCCAAGGGTCACCGTACGGAGAGGAGAAGAAGAAAGGCAACACATCTTAAAAGCACTTCACACAAGGTCCAATTTCCAGCTGAATGGTTCAAGACAACAGGCAGCTTGCAATGTAAAGGCGGCTTGCAGGCTGGGGTAGAGGACTTCCAGGTTACTGGAGTGTGAGGATGGGCCAAGCAGTCAGCTGGATCCTTCGTTTTGGCACGCATGGCTGAATCCATTGCTCACTAATCATCTCTTTACATTATATGCAGAACAAGGCTCAGTTCAGCATCAGAGATTATAGTTTAGCAATGGACTGAAAATCAACTTCAGCAAGACACACCCCAAAGTCCCCTTTCCAATGCGCACAACACGGGTATCACGCAAGGACTACGGTCCTGTAGCCAAGCTTGGTAGTGGTGAGGAAAATGTTATTCAGGAGCCAATGCAGAACTAGCTTCCGCTTGTTCCATTTGTAATCTGTGTAGCTTTGAGAAAAGGAAAGAAGAGGAGGGAAGACTCCTCCTGGCATGTGTCTGAGAAACACACTCCGCCTTCACTTTCAGCCAGCAGGCCATGCTGTGTGAAGCTGGCAGAGCATGGAGAGAAGAACCATGACTTGGGCCAGAGGTAGACCCGTTGAAGTGGCGAGGAGGTGGTGTGCGAAGCACTGGCTTAAACAAAGGCTTCCTCGTTGGGAGTGCCATTGATTTTGAGGAAGAGTTTGGCATCCTCACTTTTCTGCTGCTGCTTTCTTTCTAGTCTATGCTGATAGCAGATCAGATAGGCTGGTAGGCAGAAGCCCAGCAAACTCACTCCCAGAAGCCCAACGTTGACCTACAAGAACAGACAAGCATCATTAGAGAAGTAGGAAAGACACAATCCACTCACACACATACCTAGAAGCCAGCCTCAAGACCTCATTATGTCACCCACCCATGCTGGACACAAGGTGCCCTGCCCGATACATGTGTGACAGCCTACCAGGGGATTGTAGTAGCACTGCCCTAGCTCTCTGCAGATTCTACTAGTCAATGCTGCACAAGCAGGTCCGTCAGTACCATCTTTGAAGAGTTTCTCACAAGACAGGGCTAGGCAGTGCAATCCCAGACTGGCTGAAGCCTGTCCTAGCCATGGCTATTGCACTGGTTCTTTCTCCATCTCCCCTTCTCGTGGGAAGGGGATGGGGAAGAGGCAGTACAGACTGAAGCTGTTCCATGTGGACACAGCTGGTGGTGCAGCTGAGCTAAGCACTACTGGAGTACACACAGCACCTGCAGCAGTGGCTTTCCTTAAGCTGGCTGTCATACAGAGGAAGTAAGCTGCTTCCAGCCTAGCTTCACTCCACTCATGAGGCTGCTTGCAGGCTTCCTCTCCATTCCTGCACCTCCAACAGACTGGGGAGTCCTTCGGATGCAAATTATCATCCCCCTCCAAGCAGCTCTGTTGCAGGGCTTGAAGCAAGTTGCCTGGGGCTGGGCTGGTGCAACAGAACACACATGGCCACCATTCCAGGCAGGCAACTGACCTTCCCAACTGGAAATTAGTGCTAGCAGCATCCAAACTCAGTATTCACTGGAAATACAGCAGCTTGCAGCCATGGGGTGAAGGTACAGCTGCGGGAGGTAAGCCCCAAGCACTGCCCCTTCTGCCCAGGCTCCGCCCCCAGGGAACCAAGGCACGCCCCTCCCTGCCTGGAGTGTCCCGTGAGGGTGTACAGCCCCAGCCTCCCCGGCCCTGGAGCACGGAGAGGGCAGGTACTCAGGGGCAGCAACACCCTGCCCCAGTATGCCCACAGTAGTTGTTCTGGGGGTGGAGTCTGGGTGGGGCCAGGCTGGCGGTAGGGAATGGCAGTGCCTTCCTCCACCTATTATAGCCCCTGTCCCTGCTTGCAGCTCCCTGGCTAAAAGCTCTGCTGCATTCACTACTGAGAGGAGAGAGCCATCCCCAGCCCACCTACCAAACCATCTCACTCCACTGGCTGCGTATGTACTGAACAGAAATGAGTTCTGCAGCTCCCTTCCCTTCCTCCTCAGGCCCTTTCCATTTACCCTGGCGGCTGTGGTGTTTCGCTGCATAAATAATGAGCTTTAAGAAAGAACAAAAACTCAGCCTGTCTTCCTGAGAGCATTTAGAGCAGCCAAACGGACAGGCCCAAGAGCACTCAATTCCTAACACGGTTGAGCGCTGCTGGATAGCCTCTAGAATAGCTCCATCTACACAGGAAAGGCACCTCTCTCCTAGGGGGCCATTATCACCACCAGCACTCCCAAAGGAAAGACAGCGAATTCCACAGCTTTAAGGAGTGGAGCCCCTTTCTGCTTGCTCCCCCACCTTCAGGGAGAACACGAGCCCTATAGCCCAGGACCAGGTTTCCCAGGGCTGGGTCGGCAATGTAATGTGAGCTAAGAGAAGTTGAATATGGTGTAATCTGCTCTGTGCAGGCATTCATTAGGAAAGAACCCATAAAACACCCCAGAAGCAAACAGCACTGCACTTGGGTGAGTAGGCTGCCTTCCTCTACGACAGTTATTGGCCCCCGTCTGAGAGGAGCAGTTTACTTGAGGACCCACGGTCAGACATCAGTGCTCAGTCCGACGCCTGATCACAGCATGGGTCTGTGCACAGTCTCCCTTTCATTTTGGTTGGTTCTACTGAAAAGGAATCCACTCCCCAAAAATGAAACTAGACCCCACCCAAGCCTTCGGGCAAGTTTGGTGCAGACCATATTTACTCTGATCTCCCTTACCCACAGAGGGTCTCCTTTCAATGGTCCCATCATTGCCAGGAACAAGGGCTGCTGCAGAAGAGCAAAGAGGGCACTGACCAAAGATTGCAGTCCTGTCAAGCTGCCAAACTGTGTTGAGGGGTATCTGTCAATGCAGAAAAACAGGACAATTACCACGCGCCACCCTCAGGAGACAACTGCCCTAGGGTCTGGTACAGACCCTTTAAATTGCCACCAGAGCCTCATTCAGTACACTGTGGGCAGTGCTATGGGCTGGATGGGGGAAGGGAGGGGGGGAAGAGGAGAGAAACAGTGCAGCCTCCACCCCCAAGGCCCAACCCTTCTGGTAGCATGGAGCCGGCCTCCACCCACCTTGCCCATGGGCCCAGCAATTAGGTCTCCCCCCCCCCCACACCACCCTGCTGTACCACCTTGAATCTTTTGTGCTACTCCTAAGACCAGGCTGGGCACCTCTCCAAGCAGCTGGTTCCCAGCTCAGCTGCACAGAATTCAAGAATCTGTCCTTGTGTATGAATATTGTGTGTATTCATTACAATTGGCATTTAAGGCAGTGCGAATCAGGGGCCAAGTGTCTCTTCTTGGGATTAGTTTCTGCCTGAATTTTCTAATTTAGGGATTTATTTTTTAACAAAAACTGCAGATTTAACATCGTTCCATAGTCAGCATAGGCCAGCTGTATTCTGTAACCATTTGGAGTCCCTCATCAGGCTCTCTACAAAGTAGCATGTGCCAGGCAGGTTTTCCTCTTTACAGGCTAAGTCTGATCCTCAAGTTCAACTGTATTGTTAACTGGGAAGTGCTGAGTAGTGGATATTTCCAGTGAAAAGCAAGTCTTGGGAAAGGTTAAGGTCCTTGTCTTCCATGGTTGTGCCATTTTAAAATGAGACTCAAACACAAGGGAGTCGGACAAAAACTTTAACATCTTTAAACAAAAATCAGATTTGAGACAAAAATACTTCTATCCAGGAAGTTTCAGAGAGTAGCAATAGACAAGTGGACTGCTGTCGACTGACAGGTATCAACACAGCAAAGGTCTCCACAACGATGTTAAAAGCTATCATGGAACTGATAAAGGAAGCCTTGTGCAAGCAAAGAGGCAGTTAGCTAAAACAAAAGGTTTTCTGAATGTAAGTTATTGATCCTAGAGTTCAGAGCAGAGGAAATGGATCTGCCCATTGTACAGTAAAGTTTTAGTTCTGGAGGAGAACATGAATGTGTATCTATGCTGGGTACGCGTATGTGTTGGGTACAGAATGGACGATCCACGCTATTGGGTAAAGCAGGCCTCATTACTAAGGCTACACTGTAGCCTTTTTCTGGAAAAGCGCATGCAAATGAAGCGTGGTGTGGAATATCGTTACACTTCATTTGCATAATTAATTATCACCCACTTTTGCTCAAAAAGGAGCTATGTAGACGGCTCCTTTTTGTGCAAAACCCCCCTCTTGCACAAGAGCTGTTCTTCCTCATTTTTTCAGGAAGAACGGCTCTTGTGGAAGAGGGTTTTTTTGCGCAAAAAGGAGCCATCTACACAGCTCCTTTTTGCGCAAAAGCGGCTGCTAATTAATTGTGCAAATGAAGCACAGCAATATTCCACACCACACTTCATTTGCATATGCTTTTCCGGGAGGCTACAGTGTAGCCCGTAGCCTAAGTATTGATTTTGAACAACGCTCCGACAAGCTGTCTAAGAACAGCTCCATTCTCAGAGCAGGTTCGCTATGTGGTATTCTCGTTCATCCTCCCTGTTGAAGGGAAAGGACTGGACAGTGTAGCCCGTAGCCTAAGTATTGATTTTGAACAACGCTCCGACAAGCTGTCTAAGAACAGCTCCATTCTCAGAGCAGGTTCGCTATGTGGTATTCTCGTTCATCCTCCCTGTTGAAGGGAAAGGACTGGACAGGGATCATCAAATTGAGGACGTCAATGCGTGGTTGCGCAGATGGTGTTGCAGAGAGGGCTTTGGTTTCTTCGACCATGGGACTCTGTTCCGGGCACAAGGATTGTTAGGAAGAGATGGGATCCACCTAACCAAGAGAGGAAGGAGCATCTTCGTGGGCAGGCTTGCAAACCTAGTGAGGAGGGCTTTAAACTAGGTTCGT